GGAATAATTCTTAATATGTTTACGAAATGTAGTTCTTCATGGCTTACTAGACCTAACTCTGTTATTGAAAAACTGCGACTTGATTTGCATTTTTGCTGGCATGGTCGCTGAGGAACCGCGTGTATCAGAAAACACAGTTGTGAAAAACTTAAAAACATCCATGATACTTACGTCATTTAAAATTTTGTAAGCCATAAGTATATCAAATTTTTTCCTTCTTCATTCACGAGACTTCAGACCGAGTATCTTATTACGCTCAGTTCCACTAGGTATTTCATTATAATCCAAACGATGACTCCGGATCATGAGTTTACTAACTTACTTACTAGTAAACTCCTTCCAAAGTATAAATATCTTTTTCTTATAGGGTGTGAAAACATTAGATCCACATTCCAAAATGTACACACATATGTATCTGTAGGTATTTATATCTGTCTGTCGTCAGTGTTAGCTCTCCCACCGGGGCTGTTCATTAGTTGAATTATGCAACAAAAAAAACACCTAGCAAGAACCGTTTTTGACTTCACGGTATGTCAATAGATCGATAGAAAGTGTTCTTGACGGAAGACAATGCAAGATTTGTGGCATATTTCTCGATATTTCAGAGCATCTAGTTTCAGATGAGTAGTGGAAGTGATAGTACAAAATAGTGCCAAAGTGGCAAAGAAAATGCGAAAGTCAGCGTAAGTAGAGAAATACAAGGCTTCAGTGGTTGGACGAGAATGCGACGACAAAGGCTAAATGGAATTAGTATTTGGACGGGCTATCCGGGTGTGTACACCATTACTTATGGCTGCCCTACAGTAGGTTACCGGCGCTCCGGTGCTAATGGCACAACACCGTGGGAATTCGTTAGCCTTTAGTTGTGGACATACTTTATTACATGCTGCTGGCATGTTAACAACTTAGATTATTTTTACAAACACGAGAAAACAGTAGAAAATAAAAAGGGTTACCAGCTGAAATACGGAGAATATGATACTATGCTAATGAACGGAAAACGCAGATAATCAGATACCTTGCTTTTGAATGTGGAAAAGAAAACTGGTATTGGAATTAGTTGGCTCAATTTAAAATACTCCATGCCTGCACGAAACGTGAAGTACCTGCGCCCAACCAATGAACGCAGCTGCCGAAAAGTAAGCATGAACCTCTCTCTACCTTGTTTTGGATTCAGTCAGACTATAAAAGTTACGACCGTCAGGATCGAAACGATTATTCAAGATATTATATAATATGATATTCATTCCTTCTAAGTCTTACATAAAAAGGCTGTAAAAGGCTAGCTGTGCACGTCGGCTTTCGGGGCGTTTTCTGACCCGACAGTTCTTTGTGCTATCCTTCGCGTTAACAGGTTCCTCCCATGAAGAGATCGTAAAAACGTTTTTGTCGTGAACTGTGCTTCAAAATGAAAGCTGTATAATCATAGAGAGAAGGATTAGCCAACCACACGATCAAGCTTATTTACTAAAAAAAATAACGGCCATCTATCGTCAGTCGAGGTCGAAGCAAATTTTCTGCCGTAATCCACCGAGTTTGCGCACATAATGTAGAGTTCCATTGACGATTAACAATGAAAATTAGAAGAGCATTACATCAAAAGGTAAATCCTCCGTGGAAGATCTGCCGTGAGTTCATCGATTGACTGTAATCGAAGGTAATATTGACCAAAAAGAGCTCACCAAAACTGTAGTCTCAATATTATGTATGTCCTATTCGCTAGTTCCTTCTGTATGCCTGTATTTTTTTATTTTATTCACATTACACTTTCAATGGACACAGGTGGTGTAGTGGGAAGTGGCGCACTAGCGCATCGCAACTAAGAAATCTACCCTCATATCTTCTTGGAATAGGGTTGAGCTTTGCCCGCAGATAATTTTTTTGTTGCGAATGCATTGCCGAGCAGCTCCAGGCGTACGGTAGTCAATGGTGGATGTGAGCATAGACGGCTTGCGTGACACGAATGGAAATGCAGCTGGAGCTCGCAAACTACGAAGGCAGCTCGCGCTACTATGAGACGCAGTGCGAGAGATGATCATGCATGCACAGTGCTGCTGACGATAGTGAGCGGTCAGAAATTCATGAATTGGTTGCTTCTAACAAGCAGCCTACTCATTGCATCTTGCTGCTGACATGGAAGTTGCTGCCGACCTGCGCCCCGTTCTGGGTCCAGCACTCGTTCGACTCGATCCTATGAGGATCAAACAGTTGCAGTAAGTCATGTAAAGTATAGACTCCCGAGAAAACTCATTTTTCTCTATGAAACTTGAAAATGTCATATTATGCATTTCGATTAAGCAGCTCCTTGCGAGATTCTAGTTGGCAACAAAGTTCCTTCCTCTGTTGATAAGTTATCGTACCGCCCGATTTGCTTCTGACGCAATGAGTGCGATAAGTATTCTGTGCGACAGAATAAAAAAGGACTGCAGCCAGAAGCCGTCAGCGTTCAAATTAGGCTTCACCCCTCTACTCACTAGCTGAGCGAGTTCAAGTGTCTGGCGTACGACACTACGGAGAGCAGTTAGTTTGGATCTTTCCAAATACTGCCGTCATAATGGAGCGGCATATGATAAGAGCAAGAGCTTCACGATCGCACACGCAAATACAATTAGCTAATTCAAACACCAGTCAGACTAAATGCCGAAACTCCGACGTGCGTTGTCGTTTTGTAGGTACCGGAGTTATAGGTTAGACGTCTTTCTCTAACCACGATGGCCAAATGCTTGTGTTCGTAGGGGTGAGCGAAGGTGAGGTAGCTGTGACTATCCAGTCCACGAGCAGCAACCATAGTAGACGGGTCTATTCACACTTCATAAAACTATGGGCGAGGCTTGCGTTGTCCCGAAGGCTAGCATCTTCTGCAGCAAAGCAGTTCAACCAGTTGTTGACCGTATCGAAACACTGCTTCCAGGAGACAAGTTGCTGATGATTTTAGCGGCTACACTAGCGCTTTTTCCTTACTATTGACTATTAGAAGATGGTGGTGCGAATCTGGTACAGTGTTGATGGTGAAGGTGCGAAAGCTCACATATGCACCCTGTTTTCATTTTTTGTCGAAGTCCAGCCGTTTTTTCTTTATTTTCTTTTTGCTGTAGGGAAAACAGCTGTTAAAAGTCGTGCAACAGCCTTTGGAAATATTTTCTCAACATTTTGTTATGAAGGGCCGGGCCCATCGTTCATCATTCCATTACCTTATTATACAGTAGGCATAACTGGAGTAATGCACACGAAGGGAGCCTACCATGGCCACACACTGCACTAAAATCGAAATACTCCTAAACGTGCGGGAGCTCAGCCTTCGCGATAGAGTAATTTTTAGTCACCACCGCTGTGCAGCGATTCGTGGCTAGACAGACTCGTTTCTAACTTTCAGAGGAACTTCGGCTGAGAGTCCTCTTACAACCCACTCAATAAATACTAAATGATAGACAACGGAGCATTGAGAGCACCAGGCAATGTCATAACTGGCCTACACGTAGGTGTTGCTGCAGCGTAAGCACCTCCGCTTGCAGTGGAATTTCGGGGAGAAGTACCGCCACCCTTCTGAGGCGTTTAGACGGTCATTACGACTGCTGATTTTCAAAAACCTTTCCCTATGCAGGATGTGCCCGCACATATAACAATTTCTCTTCCAGGTCACCCACCGTATACAAAGCTATCGATGAACTCGCGAAGCTATCCGCTCAATGCATGCAACTGCGAACCCCGCTCACTTGTTGTGAGAAGCTGGTCGCATCCGATCACACACTGTACCTTAGCTGGGAGTATGACTCGTGAGTAGCTAATCTCTTTCAGTGTTCGTTGGTCATTTCAGTACGTAACAGTTTCTTTACGCCACTTCCCCAGAAGAAAAGTGGCGCCAGATTCAGGGGTTGGACGAGAATGCGAGGACAAAAGTTGCATGGAAGGTGTATTTGGACAAGGTGTTCAATTGTTTGTGCCGCTGCGTACAGCTGACTACAGTAAGCTGTCTGCTTCTATCGAGGGACGGAACATCGGTGTGCCCGGAGATGCGCGCGGCGAATATACACACATGATTCCCTTATATTGAACAAAAAGTCCCGGGACGCGATGTTCCATCCCCGTGCAAGCAGGCAGCTTAATGTGGTTGGTCAGCTGTAGGCAGTGGCACACATTATTGAACAGCTTGTTCTAAACACCTCTTCCATACAACTTTTGCACACGCATTCTCGTCCATATTTCGATATGCTCATGAGCAGCTTCGATTCTAGACCTCGTTGCTGCTTTGCGTGCATGCTTTAGGTCTTGATGATAACCACCAGAGTCGCCCAAAACGCCTCAACTTCGCCACACAACTTGCTGCGTGCATCTCGGGACGTAGTAATGTACCCATACCCGCTTGCAACGTGTGCATCTCGGTGCGAGGGAAGTGTGCCGATTCGTGCGATTCTGGGTGCGCGCGGAAAATTGCGCGGCGGAATTCGTGATGATTCGAACGACTCTNAGAGTCGTTCGAATCATCACGAATTCCGCCGCGCAACTTGCCGCGCGCGCCCAAAATCGCACGAATCGTGCGTCCCCCCGGTGCGAGTGGTGCAAACTCCATAGCCTTTACAACGCCGTGAAAACTCGTCTGCCTTTAAGAGTGTGAGTCGACTTAGCTGGTATTGAGACCCTGATTGCGCCCTGTCTAGAACGTTTATCGTTACCGGTGCCTTTAATACGCAACGAATCTGCCCAAGATGATGACTGCTGCGAAATCAAAACAAAAACAATCTAGTGAAGATGGAAGAAGTTATAAAATATAACACAATCAGTTTAATATTGCCGTACGGACATCCATTTTACAATTAGTATAGCGTGCAAATAGTTTCATTACTCACAACTATGGGGGATTTTTTCAACCATTCTAGACTTTACCGCCCTTTAGCAGAGTAACGTGAAAACTCCAGAGAGAGTATTACATAGTTCAGTTACGAAGGTGTCCGCATATTAGGTCAAGAAACCTAACCATTTCGTAGGAAGAAGATAGTGCATTCGTACTACATACTTTTATTGACCTACAACATGGTGGATGAAGGTTATCGCCATAATGATGGTACTAGGTGTCAACCTTTCCATGACAGCATTACAATTTGTTGTGCTCAAATAGCGCGCTATAATCAAGTTGGTGTTGAAGAGGTGATAAAGCAAGAGCAGAGTAAAAAACACCAACTTATCGTCAAACGTGAACTGGCGATTTCGACTTGGATCGATCTACCTAGGTGGATTTGTGGGTATAATCATTTATGTTGGATGGGTGTACAAACACCATACTCAAATTTTGGCGTCACCTGCTTTAGATTCATAAAACTGAATATTAGAAAGCACCATGTGAAATATGAATTTCCAGCTTGATGTTCAATCACCTGCGTGAACGAGCGCAAAGGGACAAATAGAAGTGGCGTTGAGCAATTCCCGATTCTCAAGGCTACGCTAAATACGTATGTTTGGAGACTATAGAAATCGTGGCGCTTCTCGCAATTTCTGATCAGGCTCTACAATTCGCTTCAGTTCTCCACGAGACAAGAAGTCAAAAACATGACAGGAATATCAGAAATTATATAATTAAATCGTCAAGCAGTAGCAAGGGGAAATTAGTTTTTTTTCATCTGAGCCTTAGATGTACAAAAGTACCGGGGGTGCGCCTACTGAGGGTTCAATTCTTACCCAATCCCAACTTTTCACGCGAGATAATCATTTCACACACCACCGTGCTCCTTCCCTCTTGAGGCTACGGTGAAACTATATTATTTCGGCTCAGATACATTCCAAAGCCCGCGCTGCATCCCCTCCTGTGCGCTTCAGCGGTCGGTAACGGGTGAGAGCAGTGGTTTTCCCCGGGTGCAGTATCTCCTCCCCGAAAACAGCGACGCGCTCGCCGCATCGCGCACTGTGAAGAGGAAGGTCCAAATACCCAAAGAAAGGATACTGCAGTCGCCGCGGAATAATTGCCGCGTGCCGTGGAAATTCGAGGAGAAGTTCCGACACCCCTTTTTCGCCTCTCGCCCCTCCCCTAACCGCATTCCGCATTTACACGCAGCTAGGAAGCGTACTATTGAATGAGTAATCGCAACTTGCGATTGTGTCGAACTAAAATTTCGCACTCTCAGCACTTTCCACTCCACGCGATCAATCTATTTTCCTGTGATCCGATGTGATGGGTAAATAATATTTTTTATAATCTCAAGATCAATCTTCAAATTACTTGACCGAGATGTTCAGCTGGATTGAGGGTTGAAAGTTAAGACCATAAACTCCCAAACATTTGCCTCTACATTACATCAAACAAAGAACAGTGGACTCTCGATTTACAAGGCTGTTATCAGTTTAGTCAACGCTGAGGATTAGGTAACGGCGTGCAAGCACAGTACGATTTTTCATCAATACACGTGAAGATAGTGATGCTTCTTTACGCAATCGCCGTAAATGACGCCCAGAATTCACTGGAAAAAACAAAAAGCAAACGGAAAACAGGAACTTCGTGGTAAACGACGTAAATCACGAACAACAAGAACAAGCCGAGTAACTACGTGTGTTGTGGTGCGCCAGCGAGGCTCAGCAATCGATCAGTCAGAAGATCGCCGCATCCGCTGCGACCTCCCATCAATTTGATATATTTTTTTACAAGTTAGCGATTTTCTTGAAATGGGTTCTGACAGGAACGTTGCGGATGTGATCCGAAAGCCCAGATATCCGATTTAGATATTTGTAAAGATACCACATAACTAAGTGGGTGGAGGTAGTGTAGTGGCAAGTGGCGCATTATCATAAACGCATGGTTACGAGCTCGTATCCCAGATCAATATCTGCCTAGGCCGAGCGAGCCTTCCATCCTTTCGGGAATGTTAAGTGGTACCATACTCGTCTGGGAGGATGGAAGCACTGACTTGTACATCGGCTTTCCACCTTTCCACCGCAAGTCATTGTATAGTCACAAGGCACATACGCGTTCAATACGCCACCACGACTCTGAATGCAAGTCGAATGCGGTTGCGCATCCTTCAGACAGAATTGGTGAAAATTTTTTTCCATTCTTCACGACTTCAATCATTCCCTTTGCCCTTTGACCCCATTAATGAGCCTGATAGAAAGGTGGAGGTGGTGGTTTGTCTGGCTAAGAGGCCAAACAAACCATCCTTAACTTTGTTTAATTACATGTCATTTTGTTGTGCTTGCATGTTTTTCTATATGCTCTGAACATCTCAGTTTATTACTATTTACTCACAACCAGCCGTGACAGGAGGGCGCAGGTGCTAGTTGCTATTACACATACCAATTAGCGCGACGTAGCACTGTCATTAAAAGCTCATATCATTAAACTCGTAGAATTAGTAAATTAGTACGCATCTTTTAGAGAAAAGGATGTAAGCCGGCTCCTTGGTTTCGCTAAAGTGGGAAGAAAGCGACTGTTTCTCTATGACTCCGAGATGCAAACCTATGAAGGACAGGTATGCTCCCATTGGATGTCAATTCTTTCGTGTTTTTTTTCTCAGTTTAAAGTGGTGTCATGCTTCTTCCAAGTTATAGTTTGAATAGGACACAGGGAACGGCGTCGTATTTAGCGTTTCCGATTTCTACATACCGGAACTCATACAAATTCTTTCCCTGTGTGTCCTTATGACCTTTGTAGAAGGGCTACAGTGGGCGGTAAGAGTGAAGCCTGAAATGTTTGTAACAATTAAAGAGGTTGATGAAAAATTCTGTCACATCTAAAGCGACAGCGGAGTTTGCTCATCTTTATAACATCTATAATGTGAATGTTCATGAAGATGGTGAACTTCACGAATATCTAAGAGATCTAATGGCGTTCGGAATGGTAGCCGCCTGATCCCGTCTCAGTGTCGGCAGCTGAAGAAGAGCTTTCTACATTAGGAGGACTGTAGCGGTCTCTTGGAGCACTAGCTCCGACGCCACTGATTGGTATTAGAATTGTTCCGAGCGATAGTGGTGCTCCTGGAGCACCCTGGGTTGGATTCGGAACTCCACTATGGCCCACGGAGCTGCAGCCATTCCCGCTTCTGTCATCGCTAGCCTAAAGAATGTAATGTGAATGTTCAGCGAGATGCGTATTCCGCGAGTGTATCCTACCGAGCTACTCAAGAATGGAGGGCCGTTGTTTGGTAAGCTATTAAGCTCTTTTCCAGAAGGTGAAGATGCTGCTGCCCGAGGAGACTTGAATGGATCGAATGCAGGGAACTGCAATTGGGCTGTTGGCTATGGGAGCATCGCCGAGACCAGCTGCAACTTCGGCAAATCCTTCCTTAATAATGGAACTCCATTCATTATTGAAGCAGGATGAAGATATAAGCGTTACCTGGTTATAGGCAGATCCAGCAAGTGGTCTCGTACCGCCGCTTTGCAAAGCACCCGAATTGCCTTCACTCTGCGGGCGGGTTTCGTACTGTGCATGTACACAACTGGCGTACAATAGTAAAGCGGTGTAGAGCATTTTTAAAACGGGCCAACGACCGTTCGGATCTATCTGACGGCTACTATGAGGAGGGATTCTACAGAAAGTTGAGAGTTTAGACGTCTACCGCCTTTTATAGTACGACCAATGTTCGCCTTTAGATTTCGGTTTTTTTGAAGCAGTGTGACCCCTTATCAGCATCGAGAAATCGCCAAACTTTATCTCGATGCTTTATGACACTCTTTTCTTTCTCTTTAATGCTTCTTAGCAATGTATCATCAAGGGGTGGTCAAAACCATCAATTCATCTGGGATTGGGAATTTCACCTCGACTCTTTGTGACACAACTAAATTTTCAACTAAATTGCTGACTTCTTATAAAGTAGTCATTGCGATACTACCATTTAAAGAAAGTGCAGCTGGGAATTATTGTTCGAGAATCTTACATTTAGAGGTAGATCAGCCCCTTAATATGCTACAGATGCCAGAGAGGGAGAACAGACGGGGAAACACAAATGAGGCAAATAAACTCATCCAATGCACCACCGCAAGAGCGGAACAGCGCCTCTCCGAGTCAGTTATGGTTACTAACAAAGACCTTCTGTGCGGTCCCTGTGTAACGTCTATATTTAGACCTGCGCGTCTTATAGCTCACAATGTAGCGTAAACGGCAAGAAATCATTGATGGGGATAAACATCCATTGCGGTTATTCATTCTGTTATTTCGCGCGTGAATTCAGAATGACTTTAGCGCTTCCCTGACGGAAATCTCAGTTTCGTGTGCTAAGATTTTGCACTCCACATCAAAATCGGTTTTCTATGATATGCTTTCCAAGGTGTGTTGCTACATTGCCTCGATTTTTCCCCGCAAGGTATTCCTCAAGGCGTATTGCTAGGGGCCTCCCAGTTTCCCCAATGTATGTATGTTGCATTACATGCCGACATTCGATCTGATAAATCGCGTCATTTTTGGCGCAATCTCCGACTGAATCGTTCGGACATGTAACGCAACGGTCGAGCTTGCCTGTCCGTGTACCAACTCGAAAATAAGCGCATTTCCTTTTCTTCAAACAGCTTTGAAGTTTTGCAAGTCCAACTGTAATCGGATTCTGATTAGTTTTCTCTTTTGCATTGTACTTTGAAGTACCTCTGCTCTATTGATCCATTTAATTGCGTTCCCATGCTTTGATAGGAAGTTTATATGAATCTGTTACCAACACCACTACTTTTACGTGCGCTTTCTTTGACCTGAAATGGCGACCTCCCAGACGGATCAGGTACCAACTAACCAAGTTGGAAAGGATGGAAGGGTTGTTTAGTCCAGGCGGATATCGACCCTGCGTCGAAATCGTGGCCATGTGTTTGTGATAGGCGGCACTTGCCATACACCATCTCCGCCCTTCTACTATATAATATTATATACAACAATGATCAGGATAAAAGACAGCATTGAGTTTTTAACTTTATATTTATTCACCTTTGGAGGAACTTGCCAATGTTTCAGTCCGGTTCCAACTTATAATTACTTAAAGATGGAAAGAAGAGAAAGATTAGATTAAAAAATAACTTCCAGTAAAGCTTGTAACCTGAGAGAACGACCAGTTCCATAGCGACCGACAAGGTGCACGTTTTATGCTCTCTTGCAGTGATGAGTGACAGCAGCGCTTATGCGTAAAGGAACACCGTTGCCATTCTTCTTTCCGTTTCCATTGTTCTTCGAGTTGCTCTCTTCTCTACAGAATTTTTTCTCGCCCTTCCGGTAAAGGCAGAAATAAGTGTGTCTTTACAGAGTGCAGTGGTATCGATCCAGTTGTTTGAACTGAACTGTTTGAGCTGTACTTAGACAGAAATGGAAAAGCAGAAGACCCGATATGCATGGGAAAACAGCGAGGCTGCGCATTTCGTGAATTGTTTGTTGCGTAGTAGTCAGTAAGTCAGTTCTGTAGGGTAGCTAGGGCACAACAAGTAGAAGCAACAACGACGTCGTCTACAAAATCTGAGAACATGTCTGGCTGCTTTCATAGTCGACCGGTCGCGCGACCAATCGCGCGACTGCTCGCGCCAGCGGTCGCTCGATCGGTCGAGGAGGCCGCGCTAGCCATAGGTGCGCCGAGGACGGTCCCGAGCATATCGCGCGATCAGTCGAGCGACCAGTCGCGTGACTGGTTGCCGGTTGCTCGCGAGATAGGTCCGCGACTAGTCGCGCGACTGGTCGCTCGCCAAATCATGGACTATGAAAGTAGCCTCTCACTACAACGGACAGAATGTCGGCAAGTATATCTGGCGTGCCAACGCCAGGCCACACGTTAAGCAAGAGCTATGAACTAAGAATATATAATTGAACTATTTTTTCACCGTCACCCTACATACATATAACGCACCGCTCCTTCCTACTCACATCCATTCGTTTTGAGCTACATTATGAGCAAAGATTCCAAAAACCGTGAAGGTACCAAAAAGTTACTCAGTGTTGTCCTAAATCGGTCACCTTCTGGAGGAAGATATTCATGCCTTGCTTACATGACGGCAATGATACCTTGTTGGAGTAATTTTGATGGTTTCTGACTAGATTGAGATTGGGATTTTGAGATTTCTTGTGAGAATCCTTTCTAGGATAAACCTGAGATTCCCAAGGGTAGCACAAGGGATGCCACCGAGTGGAAAAATGGCATAGCCAGGGCGTATTCAAGAGCCTCAAAACTGGTTAACGACGTCCACACCCAGGTTGAATGAGCTCTCATGCCATTGTAGAGGCTCTAGAGGTTGCACCACATGCACCGAACGAACACGCCGCAGCTCACTGTAGCCGTCTGCTCATAGTGGACGTTCGGGCAGTTCGCACATTCTATGCAACTTTTGTCGTTACTCCTCAACCAACCCCTAATTATACTACTTTTTGAAGCCTTACATCTCTTTAGATAGGAAGATTTTTGCGTTCATTCGAACTTTTGCACTATTCTGGACTACCACATCCACTATTCGTCTGAAACTAGATACCCCATAATTATTTTGAAGTGTGCCTTTGAATTGTCCGAGAGATTACGCAACAGTCTAATATCTTCTTTATACCTTAACTTATGAATGACTTAGAGGCACAGTTCACGATAATTCTGGGAAATCCAGATTATGATGAAAAATGGAAGACAAGATCGAAACTAGTGCGACTGAGGCGAAGAAACTGCGTGCATCGGTGTTTCCAAAGTGAAAAAAGGCTTCGAAAAACCGTTAAAAAGGGGGCTGGACGAGAATGAAACCAGAAAAATGAAGAAGAGTGGGGCGTCCGGGCGAGCTAAACAGTGTGTTTCACTGCGCGCTTGTGGGTCCTGGTGCGAATAACAGACAATGGTAAGCAAAAATTCATTCACTTATAAGCATAAATAAACAAAAAACCCTAGTAACAGCAAAAGTAGCTCACCTTTTTTAGCCTCCAAGAGTAGGAAATTAAATAATGGTTCGCGGCAGCAAAAAGAAAAACAGAGGAATAAACAATGGGAGAAAAACATCGCCTCATCACTCGGCGATTAGCTGGTTTTGCATGGGTCCTAGAACGAATAATAGCAATCTGTATTGTCTCGACACTCGTCTAACGTGACACCGATCAGGGGAAAGCGAACTACGGCAGCAACGGGGCTTCCACTATGCCCTAAGCGCCGAGATTGTGGGAGCGAGAGGGTCCCATCTACCATCCATAGGGCGCTGAGTATTCCTAAAGGAAGAACTCAGTAACCTTTTTTATCGTGAACCGTGCCTTTAAGTGCTAGTGCCTATTTGAAACACTCCGGGTATGGAGAGCGAGTCTGGGAATTCCTTGACTTTACTTCTTATAACTCTCTAGTAGCCGGAAATTAATTACATCAAATTTAAAAATTTATCGCATTTCAACATACACTGAGGAACATCACTATTCGCCAAAAAACTTTAATTTCGTTGTGAAAAAAACACGATACAAAGCTTGCACTTTCACTGAAAGTAATTTTTACCACTGAAAAACACCTCTGAGGGTGAGCAATAATACGCATCATCTGAATGAGTCCAACCTGTTCGACGTACCATGCTTTAGTAGGCGATGTTGATTAGCCCTGAAGTGAGAGAAGGTGTAGAAGGAACGTTCCCTAAGCCCCTCTAGTGATCTCGATATTTTGGCTCGTGGACTTCAATACAACATTTTTGATGGTTATTTGCTCAGCAGCCGAATATGGCTGATCATTGAAAAGATCAAAGCCATTGTGGCCAATGGCGAACTAACCTTTCAGTGGCTTTTTTTGCTCAGTGCGGCTCTTCGTTGTGATCCGGCATCGGAGATCAGAATGGCAGAATAACCTCCCATTATTTGAGAGACTGTGCCGCTTGCTGCCGCAGGACTAGTTCTCCCGGGCAGGAGTTCCCTTCCCTGAACGTGGACCTCTTCGAATACTGAACTTTACATAAGTATAGCCAACAAGCACTAATTCTGAAGGGTGCCTGTGGTGAAGCAACGCTGTTCGTCGAGTCCTTGAACTCAATAATGTAAATAGGAGCGATGCTGTCATCATCACTGCTGTCAATGCTACCTCCCCCGCTAGTGAGCTGAAATCGGTAGACTTAGATGGAACTCGGATTTATGTCGGATAACAGTGGATATGTGCCTAGTAAATCTGTTCTCACCTGAGCAAGAGTGCCTTTCTCAATAGGTTGTCCGACCATGCGACTTCCTATGCCTCCACTTGGGTCGTGATTTGGAATCATCAGCACCGCAGCGATTTTAGGCCCGCCCTAGGGAGCAGGCGAATGAATTTCACAGAATCTTGTATCATGTGGAATTGTGGAACTTAACCATCCCTTGCCGGTCCGTTGCTTTCACCGCAAAGACAAAAGAATTAACCCCATTACTGCGAAGGAATCAGTCGTGGGAATCGCCTAGCTTTCTTTGTCTGCAGTAACCACTGTCTTGTGACTTACTTGAGCGCTTCCAATCATGTCCTTCCTTTCGGAGAGATTTGGTAAATAAGTGCCTTTTGGAAAAACGAAAGGTCGAATGTTGTTGGATTTCATGGATTGGGCATTCTGTAATAAAATAATTTTATTGTCAAGATACGCTTTGCTTACAAGTCACTTCTTTTCACAGAGTAGATTATGCATTAAGCTTTTGTCTAGCATATTGGAGCTCTAAACAACCCGTCCAGTACCTGCTCAAGCTGAAGGAAGTAAAAACAAGCTCACGTTACCAGTGCTGATTATTGTTGTACTTGCAGCAGTTCCGACCTGACTCCCAATAGGTGCCACTCCGCTCGGCATTGGTTTGACCTGGTACTCACCAGGTCTTTGGTTGCTAGATGGCTTACCCGATCCGCCACCAGCGTAGTCAACTAGGCTGTTCGTTGGTGATGACCTAGCACCTGCCTGATACAATTTTGCAGAATTGGCGATGTCATAGTCACCGGGGTTAGGTAGCTGCTGGCTGAATCTAGCAAATACGAGCAAGATGAAGTATCGCACGCTGAAAATGTATCGAGGAGTGAAAAAAATGGAATTAAGTTAAGGCCAACATACCATAACAGTGATTTCATTCTATCGATCTTTTGAAACTCAGCAAAAGAATGAACAAGGGATATAAATATTAGTAGCTTAGAAGCCATTTTGATCAATGAAAGGGTAAACTGTACCTGTGCAGATGCATGTACTAGCTTCTATGCATAACATTACTTTAATACTTTGTCCACTGAAAAGTGATGATATTATGTATGTAAATTACCGGCGTGACATTGAGATTTCGATGAAATTACTGTCGGGACGAATGCAGCGAAGTAACCTTCAAGAGGAATGGATAGGCGTTTTATAGACATTACCACCATGTAAAACTTTTTCGGCCACGTTTCGATTTTGACCCTGGACCGCAAATCTGGTCTATACCGTTCCAAAACTGTTCCGTTCTGTAAACGGTTTTCCGAGAAGGAGAACTTCCAAACCGAGATTCACAGTGTTTATAAGCCAGATGGAATTGTGATCATTGAATAGCACTTTGATGCTCGCTCAGCAATTCTGTTAGCAGTTTTTCAAGCAAAGTGCAGCTGAGCAGTACAAATTGCCCTATATCCATTGTTATGGCCTTGCAGACCCAGTTCACAATAAGAATGGTCTCTGAGATTCCTCACTAGGATTAACCTGTGACCCCCAAGATATCACAATGAATCTTGTCGAGTAGATGTCGAGCCGAAAAGCGACATGGGCAGGGCGTAATAAAGACCTCAAAACCTATTTAGCTCGCACACGCCCAAAGACGGACGAGTTCCAGAGACGTTGTTGGGCTGTAAATGTTGTACTATTCGCGCTAAACTGCACGCAGACAGCTCGCTGTAGCCAGCTGTTCGCAACGCATAGACATTTAGACAGCAATATACCATACACCCTCTCCTTGCAACTTTTGCTTTCACATTCCCGTCCATGGTTTTTTTCGAAGCCTCGTACTTTTCTGAATACACCGATTTTCGCTCTTCTTCTTTTCACTAACCTGGATTCCTTCCACTGCGTTCGAAACTGCACATCGCAGACTTATCGTGAACTGTGCCTTAAACCATGCAGAAGCCATTTTATTATATAGCCTTAAGTCGTCGAGCCCTGCTTCATCTTAGAAGGGTTAGGAATTTTGGCTTTAATCAATCACGTCAGACCGACTTCCATTCAGACTAGTAGTGGCTTATTAGCGTATGTAGCCTATACAATGACTTGCGGTGGTCAGCCGATGTACAAGACAGTGCTTTTATCCTTCCTGAGAGTCTGATACCGATCAACCGACTCCGGAGGGATGGAATCTTATATCAATCCGGGATTCGAACAGGTGATCATGGGTATGTTAAGTGCAACACTTGCCACTACACCACCTCCTCCCTACTTCACATGGGAAGGCAATAATACTGTAGACTGGATATGGAAGCTGTATAGAAAATGTACCACTCGTACCCGACTTCTCAACCTCTAAACTCTGATATCTTGCAGATTCTGTGCCTTCTGGACTTCTATGTGCACTATTCCGTTCAACGAAAAGGTCACGGTAAAGCTATCATCGACTATATGCTTCAAAATGAACACGCTGAACCCTACCAGGTTTGTGTGGTTATAAACTCTTCCTCCCTTCCTTTCGTTATACAACGATTGTGAGAGCACGTAAAAAAAAACCATCAACACCATGCAGCAAAGAACATGGCAATCGAATCCTGGCTAGGCAAAGGATCTCTCGAGAGCAGTCCGCTTCCTTTCAAGATATGCAACAACGATCGAATCCTTTCGGAATTGTAATGGTTACTGTTGTGGTGATTGTAAACTAATTTGGATCACGCATTGACTTGCCCGAGCCCGTTTGCTTATAAGAAAATGTTTTTTATCCACAAACAGATCTTCTAACAATTAGATAGCCTTCAGAAATGATAGGTGCATTGTTGACGAACGAATTGTTGAGTTACAGGCGGGCTACAACTGTATTTCGGCAGTTCAGCAGATAACAAATTATCATGTCCATCTAGCCCTTTCTAAGCTCATACAAATGCGGACTGCCCGGTGTCTAGCCTTTGCGTTTCAGTAGATGTATAAATGAATCAACGTCATCAGTTAATTTTTTAATTTTGTAGCTGGCGTTGGACAATCCATCAGTGACGTTGCTGGGCTTCATGTCGCAGCGATACGGTCTTACAAAACCAGTGTGGCAGAACACAAATTTCGTGGTATTCGAGGAACTTTTCAAATCGGTCACTCCCAACGGTGCCGGTAGAGTTCCGATTTTTGAAGCTGCATTTCACCTCCTGTACTTTTGTGCAATCATTCCATTCTGGTTCTTCAGAATAGCTGTATAACACATGAAAGAGTGTTTTCATAATATTTATGTGGTATTAAGCCGAAAGCCCACCAGAAGGTTGGCGTCGACCTCAAACACCGCGACGAATCGGCGCTGGTGCCACCGAGACCCGCTGGCTGGAACACGCTATCAGCGGACATTCCGCAAAGGTACGAGAATTCATTGGAAATTTATTTGTGCCTTTATTATTATCCACATCCCGCTTGAGGGAGCTAATATTCTGCACAGGAATGGCCCACCGCTCTTTTTTACATTGAGCGCTTAAGCTCAGAGAAGGAGTGGTAGCCGACATCCGAAGCAAACAATGGATTTAAGAACGTTTCTAGACAAGGGAAAATAGAGTTTTCACCTAATCCTATCCATCCCAGCTTTCTGCACGAGGTAATCATCCCACACCCCCAGTATTCATCCCCTCTTGATTCTTACGTGAGAACTATATTTATGGGCTAAGAACTGTCCCTGAGCATAGGCGGACTCAGCTACCACTCTTCCCTGCACTCTAGCGCTCAATGTTGGATAAGTAAGAACGCTGCCCTCCCGAGTGACGGTACGGAGTGCTCGCTCGCTCGCGGGACGGCCGGCGGACTATGAAAGCAGCCAAAGAGCATTCTCCGAATTCTGCAAAATTTCTGTAGACAATATAATTCATTTCACGGCATAATCTTATTTGAGTGCCCATATTTTCACCAGCCACGTGTACGACGCATGAATAAAAGGGGCCTTGGGCAAGCACATGGGGTGAGCGGTGGAGCATTTAGAGAGTCACGCAAACTATGTTGCGCTCCAATGCCAAAGAAACAAAAGACACATAACTGAAACGGGAGCCGGTCGTTTGGCGCGATGGGCGGGGTCGCGCCGCCCATTTGA